AAATTAAGATTGTAGTTTAACACTAAAATTACTTTATTGATTATAGTAGACCCCCTGTAACGCGTAGATACGTTCCACATTATACAAATTTCACGTTGTAGGAATCATTAAATACATTAGCCAATCACAGCCCGACACGTGTGAAGTTTACGGGCTACGGCTGTTTGAAAGGTTTTCTTCTATGAAATTAATCGATTCTAGACTAATTCGACTCAACATTTCCAAAACACGTATAATTTTTTGGGAATAATCTGTATAAACTATGCTATAAACAAAAAATTGTAGGATTACTTACCGAGTGTGCACCGTTCGACGTCGCCATTGCTTAAGCATGGTTTTGTCGCGGAGAAGCGCACCAAACGGCGGCCGAGATTTTTGTTAAGTTATTTTTCTGCGAAAACTTCGTTGAACTTTGGAGACATCATTAATAGAAATAATTTTTATAGCCGTTGAATAAGAAATGTTTCTTTCGCAAGAAATGTATAAAATTACAGTGCTATATTATACTTACGGTACCTAATGTACATACTGTACAAACGATAGTAAACTCAACTTACTCGCTTAAACTCTCCGTAGTGTAGCGCTGGACGGCGGAAAAAATATATATATAATTATAATAAAGTTAAAATAAATTAAGTTGATATTGTACAGTCGACAATAATACTGTACAGATGATAGTAAACTCAACTTACCCGTCTAAACTCTCCGTAGCCTGTAAGTAGTTCGGCTGCTCGTCTACTATTTGTCCAGATTCGACCAATCCTGTCGCAACACAAGTCGGCGATGATGTTTTATCGCGTTTTACGCGTCTCTTTTAGCGTCTTTTTACGAATACTGTCGCAATTTTTTCTCCGCGTTATAGGAATCTGCATTATAGGGGTCTACTGTATTTATTTGTACTTGCGTATGAAATATAACCATAATTTTATCCACAACGTAATTATTTTTAATAAGTAGTATTTCACTTATATCGCGTTTTTTAACAATGCTTATAATTAACGTAATGCCATCTTCTATTTGTGTTTGGAATCTCAAGCCCGAAAATGCCATTATGCAGAAGTTCACAAGATGCTAAAAAGTGGGATCAGACCTGTCCAGTGTTCCACCACCTAATGATCAACACGAACCTCTTCAACTATAAGAGCAGTACCATTTAACGCAGAATCTTATCAGTGGTGTGTTTGGATACGTCGGGCCCCGTCCCTCACCACCCGGTTGCCCCATTGTGGGCCTGGCAGAACCTAATAATGAGCCTGCTGTTAGAGGCCCTCTTAGTGCCCACAGGGCAAATGGAGTAAAAAAAACCTATCCTTCGTATCATGGTTGCATCAGCTAATGTTCAGAATGCGTTATGACTTTTCTTAATCACCACAACGTGTAGTAATCAGATTTCATGAATGCTACGACATGAATTTCGCTTGGCCGTTTGTAAAAACGGCCACGACGCGTTGTGGTCGGTTTTTTCGCTCAATGAGCCTAACACCTACATACTAAAATTATGAACCTGTATTTTTTGTATGTGAAAATTGTGGATTTGAAGGTATTTGAAGGTATATCGATCATTAAATTAATTTATTATATTCGAGTTGCTTAAATATGTGAGAGTCGAATTTAGGAAATAAATTCGTTAAATAAATTTTTGTTGAGGGAGGAAAAGTGTAAAGAAATAAATTTTAAACCGATATTAGTTCCTTGTCAAGTATGACACATCGAATGTGTCACCCGAAATCTCGAAAAAGACTATTGGTCAGTGGTGAAAAAACAGTCCTAATAAGGCAGTGGAAAAAACCCAACGGAACCCCCTTTATAAAAAGGAGGGGACAATACGTAAGAGTCAGTCTCTGGGAATTAGTGTGCACTGTGCATTTTACGAAAACGGATAAGCCGCTACCCGGAACTCATCTAATCGCCGCTGTTCGAAAGGACTACCCCCGACAACGTTAGAAAGAACTTTGTGCTACTTGAAAAACGTTTCAACGTTCGAAAGAACTTTGTGAAGACTAATCAACGATTCAACCCAAGACTAAGCAACGATTCGAACCAAGGTATTTATCCTCGCGCGAAATACATGTGAGCTCTCTCTCTCAGGAATACGGGTAACCGGGAAAAAATTTAGATATGTTCCTTAAACCGATTGTATATAGCTATTGCGATTGTAAATAGTATGAACAATAAACGGGTATTATGTCCAGATGAGTTAGAGTGTAATTCCTCTGGTTCTCTCGGTACGCCTCCATCCCGGAACTAGAAGTCCACAACGCAACCGTACGCGTAACGAAAAAAAATAAACGGCCAATAAATTTTTTTCTGTGTCTGATAAAAGACACAGTGGTGTCATCCTGACAGGGTATCGAAGAGATACCGACCCTGCGGTCACAAATATGTCGATGTGTTATTATAAAAGAGTTGTTTATATAAATAAAACACAGGATGATTTTTGTCATTTTTGCCAAATAAACTGTATAATACATGTAATTTTACTTAAGAAAAATAAAATATATAGCCATTTCCTGCTTAAGATCATTGACTGGGCTGAAATTTGATAAAAATTGTTCGCCTATACATCTTCACTGTTGTCTGTCTGTATGTGTTTTCTTATTCTCGAGAGCAGTGATATATAGAAACAATAGGTAGAAACGTTATCGGCAGGAAGGCCCATTTAACGATACTGTAACTTTCGTTGCCAACCGAAATTCATGTTACTTCACTTCAATATTTTATTAATTTATTAATTAAATTTTAATTAATTATCAAAGCGCATTAAATTTGAACATTACGCAAGAAAATTATTTACAAATAAGTTTATGAGAAGAAATCTAACTAAATAAAATAATTGTTATATTAACATTAATATTTTATTTCCTCTTATGTAAAGTTTTTGTATGCAGAATATAGAACCGTAATAAGTTAAGGTTCATGCTGTTGCTCCAATCAAACACTTTTAAAGAAAATTTGAAAATTCGTAAAATCGATTTATTCATTCATAATTTCAGAAGAAAAAATTAATTTTTCCAATTTAGTGAAAAAAATTAACTGTCTTTTTAAAATGCCATAAAAGCTCACAAGACTTGAGAAAGGGAATTCACATTCGTCAACATAATTTATTATTTATAATTAGATAGTACTGTTATATAATAATTATACAGATAATAATGTTTGTTGTGGAACAATGATTGTTGTGGAACAAATACAAAACGTATTGCTGGATTTTTTAAATAAATAATGGAAATTGATTTTACTTTCTACAATTAATTTTGCTAAAAACGTTAATAAAATTTACAACCTTTCTTTGTTTTTTAAAATGTTATTCTTTGTGAGGTCTGAATGAGAGTGATTCAACGTATTTTAAAGTACAGCACGTCAGGCGGCTATACACGTTAAGTTAATCCTTTTAAACTGCCTGACCTTGAGGAACTTCAGAATTTTTTATCGCCCACAAACGAAGAAGAAAAGCTCTCAACAGAGGCGTACATAGAGTGGGGCAGCTTGCCCCGGGCGCCACTCGCAGAGGGGCGCCAAATGGTTTTCAAGAAAACAAGGTTTGTTTCTGGACGGGAAAGGGGTGCCAATATAGTATCGTACCCAGGGCGCCAGGTATGTTCGCTACGCCATTGTCTCACAGTCAGTCAGTCGGCCATGGCATCTGATGACGACATGACATACGGACTGTTTTTGGATGTTTATTGGCAACAAATTCTATTAAAAGTCGCGGGTAAAAAGTATGCATAGATGTCTATGGTGTAAATAGTAGTAGTAGTGATTTGGGTAGCACTGATCACAAAATTAATTTTTCATATGAATAATTTTTAATGGAATTATTTCAGATCACAAAATTAATTTTTCAAGAAAAAATTTGCCCTATGGATTCTGTTAGAAAGCATCAATTATCAGCGAAAGATCAATGGCAAGTCGATTTTACTACCTAAAAAATTTATCGATTAAATTTTATAGACGAAAAATAGCTAATTTCAAAATTTATTATATTAAACTATTTTCCTATTTTACTTTGTCTTATTGTCAAAATGTTATTTCAAATTGTTGTGTTTTAATTTATTCGGATATTACAGGAAGAAAAAAAATAGCAAATATATATTAATAATTGTCGATCGCAAATATTATAATTTAATAATTAAAAAGAATTTATTAAACTTTGTCTTATTTTAAGTTGTCAGGTTTTAATTTACTTGGATATTACCAATACATTTTTTTTAAATGTAAAGAAAACTGATATAGAGTACAAAGATGTTTTATAAAACTGAAGAAATGAATTAAGAAGTTTTCTAAATATTAAAATTATTTATAATTTTAATTTACTCAAAATATTTTTCATCTGAAAATAATTTATAACCTAAAAAATTAATTTTTCAAGTTATAAATAATAAAGGTTAATAAGGTTAATAAGGAAAATAATTCTTCCAAACATTCACGAGACATTGCAGTGACAGACACGCAGTCTGACACTGCGCCAGGAAAATCAAATGGTTTTTCTATTCTACTCCGGTGGTCGGTACAGTCCGCCAAAACTGTTAAATTCCCCCCACACACTACCAGGAATTACTCAAAGTCAGGCATTCATGGTTAATCCTTTGAGGATTAACTTAACGTGTATAGCCGCCTTAAAATAGGTACGGTACTAGGATCCACCACATCGTTACACCTTAAATACCGGTTTAGTTTTTTATAATATATTCTAGATATCATCTAGATTTAAAATAATTTCTAAACTAATTTTATTCCATATTATTTATAAACAGTTTTCAACGTAAATATTACAATAATTTAATTAATCGCTTGTACATGCAAAACCCTATATTACTCAATAACCTATTGTAATTCATCACCAAGTATTAATTACTTTTCGTACATTCAAAAAAAACATCATTATCAAGTTCACTCCAAATAAAAAAAATTTGTGCAGCTTTCACACAAAAATAATCAAAAAGTCAATTTTTTCCTTGATTTTCATTGAAAACTTTTATGAAAGTTTACACACAAAAAGTAAGATAATACATATTGAAAATATATTCAGAACATATTTATTTTTATTGTTGCTTATAACAATGATGCAAACCATTACTGAAATTTATATTCATTATTAGATTGATGTTTTCAATGAAACTCTTTCTCATGAAATTTCTGAAAAGTCATTATAAAATAGTCCAATAAACGCATTTTTTCTTGTTTACATATTTTAAAACTTTAATACTTTTTTGTAAATAACCCATTCTTTATTTTTCTAACAACATTATCTAAACAAATATACTGACTACATTAAACTAATGTTTAAAACATAAGATTAACAGTAGGAATCACAAATAGTATTTAAGTTTTAACAGTTTTTACTAAAGATTTTAGCAATTCTATATCCTAAATGTCATGCAGAAACTGCACTTAAAACAGATGATTCAGAATACGAAATAGTTTAAATACAGCACGAGATCCACAAAAAGTTAATTGCGTATCGAGAAAAATCCACTATATTATAATCTCGTTATTTCCATACATTCTTGAACATAATATTTATTTTCAGCAATTTTAAATAGCTCGTTCATCAAAGTAACTCCCGAGTTTTTTACCAAGTTATAAAAAGTACCATTCACATTCTTAAGTAATTTATATGGCCTGTCAAATTCTTGAAGTTTTCCATTATCTAAAACCTAGAAGTTCAAATATGTAATTAAAAACAAATTTTTATTATTTATTATAAACAGAAGAAACTTACCAGTACTCTGTCCGAATCGATAATTGTATGTAACCTGTGGGCTATTGTCAACACGGTACACGATTTGAATTTTTCTCGAATTATTTTCTGTATGCAGGAATCAGTTCTTGATATAAAATAGATAATAGTACATTACGAATCTATATGTCTGTATATATAATATAAATGTCATAAAATATAATATTTTGTTTCGTAAGAAATTTATAACACATTACAAGTTTACAAGTTGGAAGGTCAATTATTACTTTCCAACTTGTAAATTTACAATGCTAATAAGAAGAATCGTCTATATAAAGTTTTAACGTATTTCCTTGTTTTCTAGTTCTATTTATGAAAATAATTTAGGATTAGGCTACTGTAAATGATGGTATTGACGATAGAAAATTTTTTTAATTTTTTGAAAAGAATCTGAACTATTTTATGTACAAATTATTTTGCATGATAAAGGAAATTTTTATTTATAATATCATATTGTAATATAAAAAACATGTATTTATTATAAAAATCTATGTACATTAAAACCTGCCAAGACAGACACCTGAATAAAACGGAAGAAGTTCTTCGGAACAGAGCGATTTTGTGTTAAAAAACCTGTTTAAAACGAAAGCTGCGAAACCGAAGAAATATTCAGTGTCGTACAATTCCGGCGTACACAGGCTTTCGTGCATTGACTTTTTTTATAAGAAATATATTTATTATAAACCGAGCATCAATAAATTATTTTAACATTTTCAGCGACATGTTTTTAGGAATTTTTATATAAAGTAGTTTTTCACATATTAAAATTGTTCTTTTATTAATTGTTTAGTCAAATTTATTAACAGAAAAATATTTAATCATAAGTAAACGTTATAAAAAAATTCAAATGAAATTTTTTTTGTTTAAGCACTATAAAGTGCAATTAATCAAACGCTATGCATTTTTTCATTCTTTTTTTCTTAATTTACTTGACGATTCGGACCTTATGTTGCCTTTCTCCTGCCAAGTAATTTCTAAAAATCGTGTCGTATAGTAATTATGTACATTTTCTAAAAATTAGTTCGCTGAAGAGAAGCAACATAATGCCGGAAACGTGTAAACAACACATATCAACTAAATAAACAAATAAAGGATGCATACCGTTTGATTAGTTGCACTTTATAGTGCTTAAATAAGAAAAGGGCATAACGAAACGGTTTCTGATTGCCAATAACATTAAATTATCAAGTTGTATAACAAAGAAATGAAGCACCATAAATCCGAGTTCAAAGAAAATTTCTTTTTTAATTAACTCGTATAATTTTTCACTGTTCAACCGAAATTCTTTTCACTCTGCAACGATATGAAGCAAATGTCTGTCTTTATATTCAAAACAACAGCACTAAAAAATGTCAAAATATCTCATGTTGTTAAGCGTGAAAGACTAAGCGTTTTTTAAATTACATACTATCTGAAAGTTAATTATATTTTTCAAAAAATACAGTATGCACAACGCACCCTTCTACTGATCATTGGGACACGTAAATAATTAAAATCTAACGTGAGAATTTTTTAAACTCGGAAAAGAAAATACAAACGATATCTCAGTAGTCAGGGCTTCTCCAAGGCAATTGTAACTAAACAATTTTTATAATTTGTTGTAATCTCACTTTTTATCTATATTTGATGTTGCTTCATCCATGACCAGGATTTTATTCTTGCGAAGAATCGTTCTGGCAAGACAAATTAACTGTCTTTCTCCTACGCTGAAATTTCGTCCTCCTTCTGACAAATGTGTATCCAATCCTCCAGGCAACGTACTGATAACTTCCTTTAATTGCACCTTTAGTTGAAACGTTTTTAAAAAAAGATGGTGATAAAATTAAGCCACTAAAAAGAATTAAACGGGTATGTAAGAGAGTAAATGAAAACAATTGCGCGTGTTTCTAACCTCTTCTATAGCTTTCCATAGAATTTCATCTGAATATTCATTGAAAGGATCGATATTTCTTCGAAGTGGACCGGTAAATAACATTGGATCCTGAAAAATACACACGCTATTTTATTCGTTTTGTAATTTTTTATGAAATGGTTTGTATTATGATTACGACAATGGTAAATGTTACATTTCTTTTCTTTTATTAATTATTTTAAAAGATGCGCGATGTGTCTACCTTTAGGAGAGTATAAATTGTATTTAACGCTTTACTTTATTAACACTTACTTTATTAACATATTTTCGGTAAGTTTGGAATATTAGAAATTCAAATTGATTGCAAACAAATTGGTTAGTTTAATTAGTTAATTTTAAAATTTATATATAGCCTATATATATATATATATATTTATATTCAATTTACTATTTATCTTGTAAAAAAATAAAAGTTTGTTAATGTTGCAGCAATGGGACTTGGTATAACAGGACTGCTGGTTTCTGAAAAATGACAGATAAAATGATTTTGTACTTTTGCAATAGTAAGTTATTAATGTTTTGCAACGATCGATAAGCGATTAATGTTTTTCAAAGATCGATAAACATTTTCTATATGTTCATGCTGCTGCATGCTTACAATTTGTTAACACACGCTCTTTAATCAGTTCAAAGTTTATGATGTATATAAAATGTCGAGAAATAAATTCCGATACTGGAAATATTCGCATGACAAATATTAATGTTATAGTTTATAATTTTCAGTATATTTTTGTAGACGTAAACGGATTTTTCGCTATAATCGTCATGACACAACAAAGATGTCTATCACAAAATAAGTTTCTGCTACTTTTATGGCATTAGAAAAAATCATGGAATTTTAGTTCAATAGTCGATTTTTCTCAAATTTTTGAATACACGTGAAGAGAATAATACGTTCCTAGCATTTTCAATAAAAAAAAAACGTATTATGCATTTAGTTTGCATTGGGCTAATTGTTTTCGTGTATAACGTATTAGTGTCACACATGCCACTTAACAGAGTGAATTTGAATTGCATGAATGAATTGCACTGAATTTCAAGCTATTACATCCAATTAGATTGATACGTCAAATTATCAATGTCAAATCAATATGTTTTTTTCAATTATAAAAAATTAGTTGTAAAATTTGCTGCGCTTCTTTATTGTATGGACCAATTCTATTTTTTTCAATTCTATTCCTTTGAACGAACGCGTTTATTTTTCGACTTCGATTTACTTGCAAAGATGTTATTGTGTCAAGTTGTTCCTACCATAACCTGAAAAGAATTTAACCGTTTGGATTTCACTTGTAAAATATATCATAGCGTTTTGTATTTTATCTTATTTTAAAATACAGTCGACCCCTATAAAGCGGGTTTATATAATGCGGATTCGTATATCGCGGCGAAATAATTGCGACCATATTCGTATAAAGACGCTAAAAAAGACTCATAAAATGCGGTAAAATGTCATCGCCGACTCCAGATTCGACAGAATTGGTCGAATCTGGAACAATAGTCGACGAGCAACCGAACTACTTATACGCTACAGAGAGGTTAAGCGGGTAAGTTAAGTTTACTATCGTCTGTACAGTTTATATATTAGGTACTGTAAGTCTAATACAGTATTGTATTACAGTACCGTTTGATGTGCTTCTTCGCTACAAAAACAAGCTTAAGCAATGGCGTCGTCGAACCGAATGTCCACCACACTCGGTAAGTAATCCTACAATTTTTTGTTTATATCATAGTTTATACGGATTATTCCCAAAAAATTATACGTGATTTGGATATTTTGAGTCAGATTAGTCTAGAATCGATTAATTTTATGAAAGAAACCTTTCAAGCAACCGTAGTCCGTAAATTGCACACGTGCCGGGCTCATGTATTTAATTAAGGATTCCTACAGCGTAAAATTCTTACAAAGTGAAACGCATCTACCGCTTTATGTGGGGTCAACTGTACTAAATTCTAATATAAGAAATCAAAGAAAATATTTTTAGAGATATATATTAAAAAAAATTGTTAAATGAAAAGTATTTTCATCAAAATAAATACTTGAGGAATGATCGAAATTTTACTGCGTAGATCCCGAAGACCAATATCTTTTGTGTCAATTCCATCGATGGTTATTGTTCCTGTTGGCTCCGTCATGCGAAATAACGAAGCAATTATAGAACTTTTTCCAGCTCCCGTTCTCCCAACAATTCCAATCTGCAATTAATAAATATTACAAATAATTTATGTCAGTGATTTTTAGGTACACTTATTGGTTTTCGAGAATATTTTACCTTTTCTCCCGAATGAATACGAAACGTTAAATTTTTCAAAACAATATTTTTATCCTTGGAGTATTGTAAAGAAACGTTATCGAAATAAATTTCTCCTTTTTGTGGCCAATCCGCGGGTGGTTGTTTATCAGACGAACTTTCGTACGATGCTTCTGATTTTAATTTGCTGTATTTCAGAATACGTTTTACAGAATTCATCTGGAAAATTCAATTCGAATGAAATAACACATTACAAAAAACTTATTCAAGTAACAATACTTTTTATCCAGAGTTAAAATTAATGTGTCGAATTTTATAAGACTAATAACAGAAGTACTTTTATGTGAAGATACACAATTGCAGTAATCGTATTTAGTTTTTTCTTCTTTTCATATTATTCTTTATTTATATCAACCCACTTTTATTGTTCTGGTACTAATAAACTCTTAAATTTACTTGCTTTTCTTAATAGATGTATGAATTAATTAAAAAATATAGAAATTTGTCGTAAATTAAAAAATTTTTTATCGGTTTTGATTATTTACGAGTATATTAAACTATATATTTTCTCGCTAATATTATTATGTAAAACACATTGTATTTAAGTAAAATATAAAGTAATAATAATAATTTTTTACTTATGACTTTAAAAACTTTAAATGGTACATATTTTAGTATTTCTGATATTATGAGTTTAATGAAATTTTCAAACGAATTATAAAATAATTATTTACTGAAAATTCAATCTTGTTGAAACGGAAATATTTCATTTTTCTGAAAGATATTAACTTATGTATTTACTAGATTTCTAATAGCATTTTAAAATAAAATACATTAAAATATGGATAAAAATGTCAGATTTTTTATCAAATTCATTTTTATAAAGTTTATTGTGTTAGATGAGAAATCTAAACAATATTCTGGTACCTGTTTTTATTTTAGTTTATTTTCTAGCAAATCTCTAATGGTAAGTAAGACAAGATCAAACATCTGATAAATACCCTTTTTGATTTCAATAAACGTAGTTCATAAAATTATGATTTTTTACTAACAAAATCACTTTTAATTTAGAATAAATATAAAATTTGCACATATATAATTAAAGATTATTAATTTATAAAATTGTAGTGGAATGCGATTAATGTTTAAAAAATTATACGTTTTAAATGATAAAACTGTGTCAGATGTAAAAAGACAACTGTTAAACAGAGAATAAAAACTGAAAACCCATTGTATTTTTGCAAACATTAAGTTAAATGAAGTTCTTTTTATGTAACTACTTGAAAACAAGACGTATTTGATTTTTTTGGCAAAAACCGTTTTGATCACAACCATTCACTGGAGCAAAAACCGCTTTGATCACATTCATTGAGCAAAAACCGTTTTGAAAACATTCATTGGCAAAAACCGTTTTGATTACAACCATTCACTAATTATATTTGTTTCCAATGCTGAAAACAAATATAATTAGTACAAATCTGTTGATGAACAACTAAGTGTAAGTGACCTAGTTTTCGCTTCATAGAAAAACATGCATTACTTATAATATCCTACAATTTAATTTACATTTATACAACTAACTAAAAATGACGTAATACTCGTATATAATCATTATAATAAATACAATTGCAAATTAGTTACTTTCCCAGAAAAGACAGGATAAAATAATTCTGCATTTCTAAATTCTATGTACAATTAGCAAAACGGTTAACATTGAATACACTATTGGGTTATTTGTACATGTAAGTAATATAATAATGAGAGTTCTACTCCATAAAATTTAAGGCTCGTAAAATTAAATGAATTTAATCAAATCAGAAGTATAATTCTTTGAATTTAAACAAAATAAAAAAGTAGGAATCAATGAGATTTCAACGGAGTTTAAATCCAGTGATTCCTACTTTTATTTATTTTAAGTTATTAAATTTAATCAAATTCAGTGATTTATTACAAAAAACAAACTTAATAATATGAGCTTTATAGTAACTACATCTAACAGACGTCAGATTTTGAAGAAAACTAGAGTTATCTTATTTCTTTTTTAGATGTTTTTAAATATTTTATGATATCTTTTGGAATTATCTCTCTTTTCAATCCTACATTTTTTCAACTTATATTCAACGAAAGAATCAGTGAATTCAACGAAGGGATATTTGGGATCATTATAATAACAAACCCAGTGTGTGCCATCTCCAGTTGAAATATCTAAATTAATTATAACGTTTTCAAATTTTCTAATTGTTTTCGGTAATTGTGAGACTAATCGGGGGTAGGATGTTTACGAGGATGTTCCTCTGCTACCACTTACTCGACTCAAGACCTTGAAGTCCTGGATTTAAACTCCGTTGAAATCTCATTGATTCCTACTTTTTTATTTCGTTTAAATTCAAAGAATTATACTTCTGATTTGATTAAATTCATTTAATTTTACGAGCCTTAAATTTTATGGAGTAGAACTCTCATTATTATATTACTTACATGTACAAATAACCCAATAGTGTAGTCAATGTTAACCGTTTTGCTAATTCGCTTGTCTAAAGGATGGGGAAAAAAGGTTAGGAGAAAGGATCGTTAGATTCTTTCACCTGTCAGGATCTGACACCAATCTATCAATTTATCGCGGATAGATACGCGGATGGATGGGAAATTATCACGAGCGATCTCGTCGAGGACTTCGGGTTCAGTATGGAGTGGAAAATGTCGGAAGAAACGCACACCAATCCAAGTTCGTTAACAAAATACNTTCACCTGTCAGGATCTGACACCAATCTATCAATTTATCGCGGATAGATACGCGGATGGATGGGAAATTATCACGAGCGATCTCGTCGAGGACTTCGGGTTCAGTATGGAGTGGAAAATGTCGGAAGAAACGCACACCAATCCAAGTTCGTTAACAAAATACCTGTTTATTCCGTACATTTGTACATAGTTAATAATTTGAATACAAATCCCTCTCGGGGGTTCAATCCGTATAGTTCTCAAAGTAACGGCAAAGTATAAAGTAGTCGCGATCCTACCCGCGAGTTTGGAATATTTGAATAGCGAGAGAGAGCTTACATATCATCGCGTGTAGGATAAATACCTCTGGTTAGGTTATTATAACGTTGATCCGAGGTTTGTCCTTCCAAGTTCAAAGTTCAAATCAGTCCAAAGTCCGAAGTCGAAGTTCAAAGTCTACTAAAGACGGTGGCGACGAGATGCAGGTAAATCCACGGGCACACACTCACAATATAGAAAAAAGAACTTAATTTCCCCCTTGTGTTGTCATCGCACTTGCCTTTTATATGGGGGCTCTTTCCTCGAGATTTCCACATGTACGTCACAGGTGATGATCTTCGTTGACCAATGGTGGGCGAAGTGACAAACTTATGACACAACAGTTAACTCATCCTCTACAGGGAAGTATTGTCGTGGGAACGGAGTTTTTATGAGCGATTTTTATGAGAAAATTTGTCGGTTGTTTTTCCCTTTTTGAGTTAACCCTAACTTTAAAAAAAATCGGATTGATTTTGAAACAAAACGGTAAATGAATGAACAAAATAAATATAACTATTCGAATCTCGGCCCTCTTAAATCCTGGCCCTCACAAATAGATCAACCGTAAACACACCTCTAAAACCTTTTTCATTTTTTATATTATCATTTATCGTCTCATTGGATATTCCCAATTCTGAATCACTCTTTTTCTTCTTAATTTGGAATTTGGCCATATTGGACCTAAAGAGGCTTTGGTAAGAAGGAGGTCACCTTGTTTTTTTTATTACATCCGGATCAGGTTACATTATTTAATGATTTTTTAGCTTCCAATCCTGCAGCACCTGGTAAAGCTCCTGTAGCCAAAGTTGTTAGAATAGGAATTAAAAATGGTAAGAAGCCTCCATTCTTTTTTAATTGTGTTTTACTTATTTTTATTCTTTTTCCTTCATTAATATATTCTATTTGAGTTATTGTTAAAAACATATCATGATTAGGAGGTTTAGATTTATCAATTTGTAAATATATTTCTTCACCATGCTTAATTAAAGGCTGATTTCGATTTATTCTTTTGAGATTCGCTGAGATAGATTCTGGTCTTAATATAATTACTCATTTATTTAGATAAAAATTTCTTATTTCCTCCTAACAGCTTATCAGTTAATTTATCCAATTCATTAACTAATCCTTCTCCACTAATTTTAAATGATTGTGAAGCAGACTTTAAAACTTTTAATTTTTCTCTATAAAGTTTAAATAAATCTAAATCAGACTGATACAAATTAAACTCCTCTTCTAACGCTTTTCTTTGAAAATCATTTATAGATTTCTTTAATTTTTTATTCACTTTTGTTTTAAATGAACCTAATGATTTCGTTCTTCTTTCAGCTTTTTCAAGCATTTCTTCTATTTCATTAGGTTTATTAACTAATTGTGAAGGAAAAATAAAACTATTTTGCTCTAAATATGAAACATCTAATCCTTCATCTAAGTTTTCAGCAGTATATCTATACTTCTTTTTGGTGTGGATTGAACTAAGGTTGATTCTGCATCAGGAAGTTGAGGAAATGATGAGTCAATGGTAGAAAAAATTGTTATAGTATGAATAGCATCTTCAATAGTTTTTAAATCTTGTCTAACATCTTCTATAGAAACCTCTAATTTCTCTGTAACTGGTTTATGAAACTCTGAAAGGCTTATTTAATATTTTACTTAACTAAATATTTGTTCTTCATTCTTTTTTCTTAGTGCTCTATTCTGCTTAGCTAAAGTAAGTAACGCTTTCATTGTCTTCTCATCCATTTACTAAGCAAAAAAATTAGCTCAAGTTAAATATCATTTAGCTCAAGTTGAAATAGCATTTAGCTCAAGTTGAAATAGCATTTAGCTCAAGCTGAAATAGAATTTACCTCAAGCTGAAATTTTTAAACAAATAAATGATTAAGATAAAAGATTATACAGAACCGGATGAATACGAAGATCTTAATCAAAATCGATTATTACCAAAACATCCATTCAGACTCTTAATCGTTGGTCTGTCAGGATGTAGAAAAACAAATCTCTTATTAAATCTAATTTATGATCAACTGAATTTTGATGCTTTATATGTATGTGCTAAAGATATTAATTAATGAACCAAAATATGAAAAACATCAAAAAAACTATATTCAATTTTATGAATTTTTACACTCAATATATCTTTTTCTTCGAAGATATATTGAGTCTAAAAAATAAAAAGTTAT